TGACTCTGTTCTTTAGACCCACAAAACAAAATGTCCAGTTACTTTTGAGATATAAAGATCTACAGAGATCTAAAGAATGTGAGCATTAAAAAACAAAAACAAAAAATCCAGGCTTAGTGACCCACACCTTTATTCCCAGCACTGAGGAGGCAGAGGCAGGCAGATCTCTATAAGATAGAGGCCAGCTGAGGCTAGGGAAACCCTGTCAAAAGAAATAGAATGTGAGCATTGTACTCCTAAATCTGTTTTTGTTCTTTCCCATAGAACGTCCCAACTTCCTTACATTCTCCATTTTTGACACGGTTTTGAACCCCCTCTCTTTCTTCCATTTACGTTCTTATGGCTCAGGTCTGGAGGTTATTAATACTCTGAAATAAATTTGTGGTATGTCTGTCACAACTTCTTTATACATGTGATGATGAAATGAAGGATATGAATAAAAGATAATGGCTCTTAAAAAAAATAAATAAATATATGTCTTACTTCATAGAAGAGGTGCTAAGTCAAGCTTCTCTCATGGCACATGGATGTTAAATGAATTTTGTTGAGTAAAACATTTGACTCTGTCTACAATATCTATGCAAATGTTTCTTTTAGAAACCAGAAGATTTGAGACATATACATTTAAATATATTAAGCCTTATATTCATGGATAAGTATAGCTCTCCCCACTCATCAAAGAGGCTTTCTTTTGAACAGATGGAGCCTGTTCCAAAGTTTCACAACTAATTAAAATGAAGAGAATACGTGACTATATGGTACCTAACTCCAATGGATAGATCTACAATGCAACCCCTACACCCAAGGCTCAGGGAATATCACAGCAGAAGGGGTGGAAAGACTGATTGTAAGAAACAGAGGATCAGGATACCCGCTGCTGGATAATGCATTCTAGGCATGACAGGGAAGCTGGACCCATGAAATCTCAACAATATGATCAGCTAAACAAGATCTACATAATAACAACAGCAATTGACATTAACAATGTAGATGAGGGAAATTTCACAGGATCTCACAACTAGATGAAAAGCTACAGGCGATCAATGGATTCTGAGGGACAAAGAACCAGTCTTCTCCAGGGACTAGCTCCCTGATAGGTTATCCAACCCCAAGTGAGCACCACTAAATGGAATCAGTACATTATGTATACATATATGTATATGTGTACATACATATGTGTATGAGCATTTTGCCTACATGTATATAAGTGCACCACATGTGTACAATGCCTGTAAAGACCAGAAGAGGATGTTGGATACCTTGGAACTGGAGTTATGGAGACTTGATAGCCACCATGTGAGTGATGGGAACGGAATCCACGTTCTCTGCAAGTGCAGTCAGTGCTCTTAACAGTCAAACCATCTCTTCAGCACCACTTTGCTTCTTTTTCTTTTTTAATTGAATTTTTGTGAATATCATACAATATATATTGATCATATTTATACTCCTCCTTCCTGCACCCCTTTATAGCTTCCCGGCCAGATTTCATGTACTCTGTCATACATGTTAAGACCTATTGTGTCAAGTTTGTGTCCCTACATGTCCTTTGGTGAGTGTCTATTCATTGGAACCTGGTTAATGCATCTAGTGTCACACCCTTAGAGAAAACCACTTCTCCTCTCAGTAGTTATGCTTGCCAAAAGTGCCACAACTTGTGGAAAATAGAAAATAAATGTCTGTGAGGTGCTCAGCCCTAAGTGACACATCTGCAATGCAACCTCTACACCTAAGGCTCAGGAAACAGCACAGCAGAATGGGAGTGGAAAGAATGTTTATTACTGCATTTCCCAAATCTCACCAGCAAAGCTTCCCCATGCAACAGACGGTGATTAACCCAAAAGCCACAGCTGGCCAAAGTGCAGAGAATAAAAGACTGCAGAATACACCTACCTGTATAGGACACCTCTTTGAAAACTCTGCCACCCAAGGCTCAGGAACCATTGTGGAAGAGGGGTTGGAAAGACTGCAAGAGCCAGAGTTGGTGATGACCATAAGGAAACAGTTTTCCAGACAGTTGATCAGTTACTCATATGAACTCACAGCAATTGTGACAACATCCACAAGTCTAATCATTTCAGCTCAGGCCAGACAAAAATCCATCATAAAAGTGGGGAAGAGGGTAAGAATTCCCAATATTAGCTTTGGAACTATTTGCTTCTTTTTTAAAGGCTTTCATGATAAAATTCTAAATAGAATCATGGGATTTAATGTTTTCTAGGTACAGGTCTTACAACCTGTTCAT